CTTCTGCCTCAGCCTCCCGAGTAGCTGGGACTACAGGCATGCGCCACCATGCCCGGCTAATTTTTTCTGTATATTTTTAGTTGTCCGATTAATTTGTTTCTATTTTTAGTAGAGACGGGGTCTTGCTCTTGCTCAGGCTGGTTTCGAACTCCTGAGCTCAAACAATCCGCCCGTCTCAGCCTCCCAGAGTGCTAGGATTACAGGCGTGAGCCACCTCGCCCGGCCTGTAATTCATTATTAGTATGCAATCAAACAGACTGTAGGAGCTAGATATAGCCTGCAGGCCTAAAGTTACAATTTGTATGTCCTTGCTTATGGGAGGCCTGCAAGGAAATTTCCTTGAGGAATGATCTGTGGGGCCAGTCCTTCACAGGAGCCTGAGGCCTTTACTTTTGCAGAAGGAGTTGCAGGGGTGGGGTGTCCTGCGGTTTTTCTTTTCTTTTTTTCTTTTTTTTTTTTTTAAGACAAAGTCTTGCTCTGTTGCCCCGGCTAGAGTGAGTGTGATGGCGTCAGCCTAGCTCACAGCAACCTCTAACTCCTGGGCTCAAGCAATCCTTTTGCCTCAGCCTCCCGAGTAGCTGGGACTACAGGCATGTGCCACCATGCCTGGCTAATTTTTTCTATATATTTTTAGTTGTCCAGCTAATTTCTTTCTATTTTTAGTAGAGACGGGGTCTCGCTCTTGCTCAGGCTGATCTTGAACTACTGACCTTGAGCGATCCTCCCACCTCAGCCTCCCAGAGTGCTAGGATTACAGGTGTGAGCCACGACGCCCGGCCAGATTTTTCTTTTCTTTTACAGGAAGATGGCTGGAGATGTGGACGTGAAGGGGGCATGAAGGGGATGTGTGGTGGCTATTTTTCAGGGGAAGGAGGACCTGGGCTGCATCCAGCTTTGGAGAGTAGAGCTCAGAAGGCAGAGGTGGGATGAGGCTAGACTTTCAGGGAGGATGTGGCTTAGGGCCCTCATTAAGCCCCTTCCGGAGGGTATCCTGCCTGGGATAGCCATGTTCCTGACCCTCACCAGTGTCAGGGCATGGTGACTGCTGAGCATGGTGAGTCTTAAGCCCTTCTTGGGCAGGTAGTGATGGGGGCTTGCTGGAGACGTAGGCTTTCCTTTCCCTATTCTAACACCCTCGCCTGGGAAACTGCTGGGGACATCCAGATTTTCCCCTCAGGTCTTGCTCTCTGTCCACAGCAGTGCCTCTGTCCACAGGTGAGAAGTATGTGGTGCCACTCAGGGTGCACACACTGGCTCGGGTGCCCCATTAGTGTGACAGTGCATGTTTTCTGCCTTGACTACAATGTCCTAATTGTGCCAGGTGCAGGCTGGGGACAGGTCAGGAATCCTGGGCATAAAAGGAATGACCCAACTCTTTCTCTAGTTCCACCCGGACCACTGCCCCACAGAGAGGGGGCACTGGCAGCCCGATAGCCCTGTGCCAGGTGGCCTAGTATGTGTCTTGGGAGCAGCCGGTTCCTACCCTCAGTCCAGACCCACAGAGCCAAGGGTGAGCCTGCCAGGGCTGGGCTGGGGGCCCGGATCACCCTGGGGATGGGGGTGTCATCCCAACAGGCAGGGGATGGAGTGTCCTCAGAGCTGGGGTCCTGCGAAGTCTTGAGACTGGGCTTCTGGAAGGGAATCGGCGTTTGTTGAATAGCTGAGTGCCAAGGTCTGCGATGGGCACTGTCCCCGCACCACGTCACCTCAGGTGGAACCTCGGGAGTGAGGATCCGCCGGGGAATACAGGGACCCACGGTGCGGAGGGGATGTGGCTGCCTCCTAGGCGCACACAGCAGGCGCTCAAGTATTAGGATGCAGATTTCTGCGGGGACCCCCTTCTGGCCCCGAGGGCAGGGGGACTTCCCTTCCCCTCCAAAAGTATCCGGTGAGCAGAAGGCAACTTTGGTGGGTCCCCCGGCGTCTGCTCGCGTCCCGGAAACGGTCCCAAGTTTTCGCGTCGACACCGGGGCGCAGAGCTGGCCGCGAGGCTGGGAGGGGCGTCCGCTTCCCCTCCCTCCTCCTCCTCCCCGTCGTCCCCTCCTCTCCCTCCCGGGCGGGGGTTCCGGGAACCGGCCGGGGTGGGGCAAGGGAGCTGGGCGGCCGTGCGAATCGCTGAGACTGCGGCCGCACCACGACCCGGTGTTTCAGTCTGTCTGTCTGTCCGCTCGCCCGCCCGCCTAGCCATGGCTGCGCCGGCCCTGGTGCCACGGATCCTGTTGCTGCTGCTGCTGCTGCTACCGCCGCCTCCAGGTGGTGAGCCTGCGGGTGGGGGCGGTTCGTCCTGCACTGGGACTGGGGCAGACACTTCCACGCGCTGTCCTTGGAACCAGCCAGGCAGCACCAGCCCCACAGTGCCCCCCACCGACCCCTAATAGTCCGGAGGCCGTCAGCGAGCCCCCACGACGGCGGACATCTGCTCCACCCCAGAGCCCCTCCATGCCTGAACTGACACTGCCTAGACCCCAGGCAGCTGCCACCTTTGTTCAGCCCTGGAATGGTGGGGAGGGGTCTGCCCTCTCTTCTAGGGGATTGGGTCCCCAGAGGCTGGGATAGGATTCCCCACCTGGCTTTAGCCTGGGGCAGTGGCAACTGGGGGAGGCCTGGCCCCCAATGAGAGGCCTTCTCTCTCAGCCTCTGTTTACTGGCTGGGAGCCCCCACGGCTGCATCCGATGGCCCTTGTGTTCTGGAGACACTGGACGCTGAGGCTGGCCCCTGGGGTGGAGGAGACACCACTGCGTGGGTTGATTGTAGACTGATGATTCACAGAATTCGCAGACTCCCGAGGGCAGGCTGGGGGGCCTTTTAGGGGTAGGAATTGGAACTCCCCCTGCTGGGCCATAGGAAGCTGAAAACTCCTTTGGGGCCGGTGGCTTCCTGGAGGGGAAGGCTTTATTTCCTGGAGGTTAGGACAAATCTGGAGGACCTGGGGTAGGGAAATGAGAAGGGGAGTCCTGTGCCCAGAGACGGCCGACCCCTGGAGTGAGCATGTGGGAGGGTGGCTGGTCCAGGGAGTTCTGGGGGTTTGAAAGCATTTGTGCCATGGACTTACTCACCCTATATGTCTTCAACCCCAGCGCAGAGGCTCAGGCTGGGCTGTGGCTGTTCCTGTAAAGACCCTGCTGGACATGGGGTCACCTGAGCCACCCAGCAGCACAGGCCATGCTGATGGATACCTGCTTTCAGGTGGACAGCTGGCCAAGCTGGTCTTGTTGGTGACCAACAAACTCTATGGTTTTTACAGAGCAGGGTTCTGCCTGGAGCTGCCAAGAACAAAGTGTAGCCCCGTAACCCCCCAGTTATCTCTTCTCAAGGAGGTCCCTAAGTGTCTGCCTTTGGGCCTTGCTCTATTAACAACCCCAGGGCACTTGAAACACTGACCAGGCTGGGGACCAGATGCTGCACACTGCGCTGGTGCCTGGCCAGGCTGGGTTTCCAGAGTCTGTGTGTGTCCCATGCCAGGGTTGTTTCCCAGCCGACAAAGCCACATCTCAGGGATTATCATCAGTCCTGTCCCCAGACTAGTCATGTGGGCCTTGCTCAACTAGGTGTTCTGTTTGGGGTCTGCCCTGGCAAATCTGGTGCTGTCCCTTCCTGCTTGTGGGCACTAGGTCTCTGCTAATGTAGCCTAAGGATACATGGGAACATCTGACTGCAGCATCCTCCTGGAGGTTTGTAAACCTGTGGTCACCTGTAGCCCTGAGTCATTTTCCACATTTGTTGTCAACTGGGTCTCCTCAGCAGGACTTTGTACAATGAGTCTTGTAAGGATGTTACTAGATCCCAGCTCTGTGGCTCAGAGCCTTGTGGTAGCTCCAGGGCTTCAGGTGGTGCCACTGCGTTGGAGTCCTGTGTGCCTGCTGCAGGCCCAGCCCAGTGCTAAGTGCTTTATGGACACTTGTGTGCTGGGTGTGACTGGCTGACTGTGAATTGGTCAGGAGCGAGGGGGCAGGGGGTGGTGTGTGAGGATTAGGCCCTGGGGTTGTTGTGTCCAGCAGGGGATGAGGCTGTTGTGACTGAGTGATGGGAGAGGGAATGAGGATTAAGAACTGGGTGGTCCAGTGCCTGAGTGGTCAGCTGTGTGACTGCTGGGTTTGGGCAGCTCCTGGAGAGGTGGCCTGCAATAAGGCCTTGAAGGATGAGTAGAGTTGAAAGGTGGGGGATGGGAAGCAGGCAAGTATGTGGGCAAAGTTTAGACAGGCTGGAAGGTTGGAGTGATCTTCAGGGCCCTTTGTAGTCTAAACCCTGCCTGGAAGATTCTGGGCTTGGTCCTGAAGCAGTAGGAACAAGGGGAGATCTGAGAGTGTGAAGTGGCCCAGTTGGACTCACACTTAGAAATCTCACTCTCCCATCAGAAGGCCAGTAGACTGGTGGGGGAGAGAGGAGCCCAGGTGGGGCAGCTCTGCTGTGGCCCAGGGGAGAGGGCAAGGCTGGGTGTAGTGGTGGCCAGAGCTTGAGAGGTGGCCAGTGACTAGGATGGCTCAGAGACAGCCTGACATTCTTATGTCTAGTGACTGTGCTGGGGAAGGTGCTGTTTTGGCTGGGACATGGCACTGTGGGCCACTGGTGAACAGCTCTGTCTCTGCCCCAGCCCACAGTGAAGTGTGTGTCGCTTCCCATGGACTCAGCCTGTTCCCCAAGTCCTGTCCAGATTTCTGCTGTGGTACCTGTTACGACCAATACTGCTGCTCTGATGTGCTGAAGAAGTTTGTGTGGAACAAGGAAAAGTGTACTGTGCCTGAGACCAGGTGGGTGCACCTGTGGGTCACAGGGTGGGTGGCCTGAGCCTATGCCCAGTGGGAGAATGCATGATAGAGAGATGGCCCTGCCCCAAGATGGTGGCTGGAGCACTGGGCCAGAGGGTTTGGGAAGCTCCTGTTCTAGGCTGGACTCCCAGGCCTGTTCAGTTAGTCCCCCCCTTTTACTCCTACCCTCAAGGGCACGGGCTAACCCAGCCTTGGGTGGCCTCTTAGCTGGCCCTGTAGCTCACCCCTGAGCACGTACCTATACCAACATGTCCTCAGGATGACCTGGGCCTGAGTGTACCCCACGGTATGCATGTGCATCTGGGGGATGTGCTTTGTGTGGGTGCCCTCTTGCGGGCCCTGGAGGTCTCAGTGCATGGGCTTGTGAGCTCTGCTTATGTCTTCCTGGCACAGCCCATGAATTTACCCTGCATCTGCACCCCATGGGTGTAGATGGGCTGGGACCAAGGTTCCAGGCCTCTGCATGTGTCTCTGTTTGCCACGTTCTGTTTCCTTTGTGTTTGGCCACAGGTGCAAAGGGCTGAGGTGGTCCCACTCCTCAGCTCATAGCAGGTAGTCATCATTTGTCTGGGCAAGACCAGCGCCCCCCCATCTTATATTGACTTTAATCTCTCATGACCCTTCCATTCCCTTCCCACCCCAGAGACAACCAATATGCTGTGTTTAAG